CTGTTTCACAAGCCAATTGTTCTGCAATAGACAAGAGCAGCAGAATGTGGAGCCTCTTCAGGAAGTGGGTTAGGAAGTAATTAGTGTAGAATTATCATTGTGCCTGGTAACTCTGATGTTTCCAGACCTAGAAGATTTCATGTATTTTGGGTTCTATACCTGAAAAGAAAACAAACATACGAACAAACAAATGTCTATCAGAACTGGGAAAAGTCCAGAGAACCTTCACAGGAGATCAAGTTTTAAAACAAAACAATAGAAAGTCATTTCTGCGTGAAAAAATATGAAGATGGACAAGGCTATGACTTCAGTTTGTTTAATCATGAAGGGCATACAGTCAGGGTTAGTCTTATTTTGGTTCACTGAATCCGAGAATACCAAGGCCTAATTTTAGCTTGAAAGAGCTAGTGTTCATCGAGTTGATTTTGACAGCATTTTGTAACTCTTCTCAACTCTTTACCTTGAAAGGCCATAAAAATTGAACACAAAAATTCTTTTGGAGAGACTATAAATAAATGAATGAATGATAACAATATAATAAAAAATATTGTGGATGTCTGGGTATATACGTTCCTTGGATTTTACTGGTAGAGAAAATATTTGTTTAGGATGGGAGATGAATCTAACAGAAGTGACACTTGGTGTGTTTTTATATTCTTGATTTTATAACATAAACAATTTTTAATGTATTTTATTTGATGATAACCACTTAATGGCTTTAAAGAATTATTGAAGCAATATGCTCATTGAAAAAGAATACTTCTCATTACCCTGCCTCTAGGGATAAGTGGTAATAGTGTGGTATACATGTTTTTAAACTTTTAGGTGTAAAGATGCATATGCATACATATTTTTTTAATTTTGTTTTTTTAAAGATTGGTACCTGAGCTAACAACTGTGGCCAATCTTTTTTTTTTTTTTTATATGCTTTATCTCCCCAAATTCCCCCCACGTACATAGTTGTATATCCTAGTTGCAGGTCCTTCTCGTTGTGGCATATGGGACGCCACCTCAGCTTGGCCTGACGAGCAGTGCCATGTCCGTGCCCAGGATCTGAACCCTGGGCCGCCGCAGCCGAGCGCGTGAACTTAACCACTCGGCCACGGGGCCGGCCCCATTTTTTTAATTTTTGATTTTCTTTTTTTACAAAAGTGGGATAATGCTATATATATTATTTCATAACTTGCTTTTTTTCACTTAACAGTATAACTTGAATACCTTTTCATTATATTCCAAATTGCTTTGTCTTTTTAATGGTTGCATAACATTCCACTGTGAGATTGACATCAATTTTTTGCTTTTACAAATAACCCTGCAATGAACATCGCTATCCACATATGATTGTATTCATATTTCTGAAGGAGACACTTCCAGAATTGGAATTGATGAGTCAAAAAGTATGTATAGAATCAGGATAGCAACTGACTTGGGGATGGGTCTGACATTTTATATACACTAAAATCTTAATTTTATTTGAATAATACTTGTTCCTTGTGTAACTCCTACTATTATTTTGTTTTGTTTTCTTTTAAAGATCATCGTAAGTATTCTTTTACCACCCACAATTTTGACATTGGAATTTAAAAGCAAAGCAGAGATGTCACATGTTCCCCAGTCCCAGGACTTCCAGTTTACGTGGTATAATGGTGACCAGAACCCCAGCAGTGCCAAAGAAAGTGCTGTTATGGTTAGTGCAATATCATAGTGGACTGAGTTTTCCTGGCATGGACTGCACGCGAACATACACACACAAAGTTTATTTAATTAACACTCTCAATCATGTTATAGTATGGTCAAATATAGCGTGTATGGTAGATCTAATTATTCGCCTTATGTGGTTAAGCAAAATATCCCATTTCTGCCTCAAAGCTAAAATCAAGGACTTTATTATATCTTCACAGGTGCCTAACTTTTCATTTTCCTTTGTGACTAGTAGAATAAATAGACTCACCATTTCTCTAAAGCTACAATAAGGAATGCCTCATATCCTTAAAAATCTTCATTTATAAACATTCAGGTTTAGAATTGGCATTGATTTTCACTGTTCTGCTCCACAAATTTTTTCATTTGTTATATCCAGTGACTATGAATAGTTTTACTTGAGTTCCCAGAAATATGCTTTTTCATGGGTAACTTGAGCTACCGCTCTTGCAACCCGTCTTCCCTGGAGAGTCTCCAATATGTTATCTGTGCATGTGTTTTGTGCTTTTCATATCTCAACTTGGATTGTTGCTTATAAAGTTGCCGTTTACTATGAAGTATAGTAGACATCTTTTCTGGTACTTAATACTTCAACAAGGCATCTTTAGCATCTTGTCTGATGTGCTTTTGCACTTATGAGGTATGTGTTATAATATTTAAAAACATATTTGATAAATATTAAATGAAATATAATTATAATTAGTTTGTATGGCTGGTATTTGTTGTGATTCGTTGAGCATCCATTCTCATTGGTTAATCCCACTGCCAGATCAGTTGTTAAATATTTTGACTCTCACACCTGTTTGGATATGTGTTTATCTCCTCTTCTCTCCGTCCCTTTCTCCCTCCCTCCCTCCCTTCATTTCCTTCTTACTTTTCTAAGCCTGAAAGTTCCATCTGGGGTTCTCAAGATCCAAGATGGCAGATACATTCTAACCTCTATGGAATGTGTGAGAAGTTACTCTTTGCAAAGATGGGCTAGTCAAGTTGTCATAATTGTGATTGTACTGGTTAGATGATATGGTTACTAAGTCTAGACTATTTAAAATTTTTATAAGGAAATGTAGTACTGAAGAGAAGACATATAGTATTGACCTAACCCCTTTAGAAATAGAATGCTGTCTTTATATGTGAGACATTCTGTTTGACTTTATGCTTATTTAGATGTTCACATTTAGTTAGCTTGTTGAATGAACGATGTAGGAAGCTGTTTTCTATCATTCACCTGTCTATTTACAAACAAATATGTAAATATGTTGGCATTTGGTAGCAAATAGTTTTCTGCAAGTGGACCCAACTTCACTTTTGGCCTTACAGGTTTCATAGAAAGATAAAATTTCGCCGATGCTTAAGACATTGTAGATAGCTACAGCATTCCACTAAGCAGTTGTTCTTAAAGGAGAGAGTCTTAGCGAAAGAATTCTTTCTTTGAATGGCAATTAAATGTGCTCTTAACATTAAAAAAATACAGTAAGTTCTCACCATTCTCTGAAAAATTAAATTTTCTCTGTAATATAGGAGTCCTATTAATAGCAATCGCCCACCCAGGTGGTTTGGACATGGCCATACGAATTTATTAATTCAATGACTATTTAATGGACACCTTCCATGTGCCAGACAAGATGTGATGTTTTGGGGACATTGCATTAATTAAGAAAGATGTGGCCCCTGCTAACATGTAGTTTATAATCAGACAGAACATCCGTGATGCCTCACCATTATTCAATTTAAAACATTTATTGAAAAAAGTGTTTTAAATCTTTTCTGTTATGAAAGGATTATAGTTAAAGTAACAATGTTCTTTTGTCTTTGAATTTAACTAAAGCAACAGATTTTGATGACCTTGTATTTAGAATTTTTCTAAGCAGAGAATAGGGAGTAGAGGCAGCATTTGGTGGGACATATAAGATTTCATAGTGCTAATTAGGTATAATGTGCTTGATTCGTTGAGGAACACAATTTGTATTATGTATTTTGGGAGAAACCAAAGGCAGATTAAACATAGCTGCTCTTTTAGAGTCTTTGTGCTTTGTCTTCATGGTGATAGTGGGTGATCATGAATATAATAAAAGCACTGCTGGTAATAGGAAAAGGAAGACCATTATTCTGGAGCTGAAGCTGTATAGAATTAAACACTGCATCTGCTTAGTGAGGTTTTATGAAATTCCTTATTGAAGTTTCTACAGACAAAATAACTTTTCCATGACAAGTTTGAATCTCTCTACCTGCTAATCCCTTGAAAGCATGACTTTTGATGACATGAACTTTCTTAGGAACAAATTATAGCAAGGTGGCAGAATGGATTAACTAGTGGAAGAAGAGGACTCTTCTTTCACTTGGGGTTAGTACGTGAGGATTAGGGGTTGGTGACAGCTTCATGACTGAGGTCGTGTTTGAGATGTGACTTGAGGATATGGAGAGGGAAAGTAGCATTTCATTGGAAGGAACACCGTAAATAGGAGCACAGAGGCAGGAAATGCAAGGCATATGTCAAGCGTCGTAATGCTTTGGCTAGAGTCCAGGTTATAGTGGACATGGGACAAGGAGGGAATATTTGCTAGTATGACTGGGAAAGTAGAGTGAGGCTAGATCATGGAGACTCTTGTATATTCTATGAAGGAATATGATTTTTATTCTGTAGGTGATGGAGAGCCGGTGAATGTATTTGACCAGGGTAGCAAGGTGATCTGACCATTAGGAAAATTATTCTGCTGCCAGTGTACACGATGATGTAGCAAGAAGACAGGCTGGAAGCAGGGAGACCTTAGGCTAGTGTAACCATCCAGATGAGAAGTAAGAAGGGCTTTAGCCAGGGTTAGTAGCAATGCATATGGAGAGGAAAAGACAGATTTTAAGTGAAGTCAAATAAGGTTTGAACATGGAGCATGGATGAGAGGGAGATAACAAATATGACTGAGAGAGGCTGATGGTTAAAACAAAGCCATCTTGAAGGAACATGAGGATGACTGGAAAAGGAACAAGTTTTGAAGGTGAAAGATGAGTTTAATCTTAAACAACTTGATAAATCACAATGAAAAAAAGTTTTAAAAAGTTGAACAATAATCTATTTTATCAGAGCATCATTAAAAGGAAAAGATAACTATAATACAGTGTAAAATAGGCATGAATTACAGTAGAGTTGATTGTTATAGTTATAATTTTATTCCTTGTGCCTGCAGGTATCTGATTCCTCTTAGAGAAAGAGAAAGAGGAGTGGGATAGAGACATAGAGAGAGGGAGAGAGAGATTGAGATTTGAGTAGAATAAAAGTTAGCTAAGTGAAATATTTTTGTGTTTACCTTCTTGTAAGGAAAAAAAAAGTCTTGAATCTCAATTTGTGTTTCCATGCTGTATTCATCATGGTAGTTGGTGTCTTTGAATTCAACTCAGAGGCTCAATTAGCACTTTATAATCCACAACAGACTGTCAACGGTAATTAAGACCTAATGAAACACTCCTAGACAAAATAATAAGAGAAATTATTTAATAACAAGGTCATTACTTAAATTGCTTTCTGGGGTCTTTCTGAAGTGGTACTGTTGTCATTAAAATCACAGTACGTAGTGACTTGTCTAATCAGTGCTAAGCCATTTTAACTCTAGGCTGGTTCAAACCTGTTAGGAAATGGGTCAGTTCCTACACCTCCAAGTCACACCCCCAACTCCACTGCCCAAAGTGAGGCAAGTCACGGAACAATCAGTCAGGCATTGAGATAACCCGTTAGATGCCTGAGGCCTCGAAAATTACATTTCCTGCAATTACACAGACAATTCAAGCAAAACGTGATTCATTTGAAAAATCTTGCTAATCTTGCAGGTCTGATGCTAGAGAGATCTTTTGTGGATGAGTTGAAGAAATGTGCTAGTCTGAGAGGCATCAGAGAACATTCCTTTCTTTTCATTTAATACTGCTTCAAAAAATTACACAAGTAATGCATTTCCTGTTAGAAAATTAAAACCACACAGAAATTTATAGTCGGGTAACATTTCTTTTGCTTCTCTTTGACAGCCCCTAAGTTCCCTCTTCTCAAAAGCAACTAGGCTACAAGTGCTTTTTTCCTTTTTTTAAAATTTCTTTTTTCTTTTCTTTTTAAAGGCTCTTCTGTGTGGACACCTGTGTAGTCACTCATGCAACCACTTCTCTCCCACACACAGATACTGAGTGCTCATCACCTACAAGGCTTAACCCCTTTGGGCTGACACATAGCTTTGAGAAACTGATGAAAGATATGATGCTTTCCCTAGAAAAATGCACACGTACAACACAATACTTGCATATAGTTGCAGGAGGTTCAAGGAACTCCAGAAGCTCAGAGAGTCCATGACCTCCTGGTAAAGAACTTCTGCTTTAAATGAGTGAAGAAGTTGTCAAAGCCAGAATCCTGAAACTAATGCTGTGCCTGGCTTTCCTATGACTAGGAAAAGATACATCATTGTTGCATGTCCATTTTGTCCTTTTGAATTATGTTAATAATGGTATCATCTGCTATTGATTTCTTGTGGATTTTATGAATATCCTTAGGTTCCAAAATTACTGATGAAAGAGATTAAACAGAACAGAAGCAGGGACCATTTTTAAATCCTTGCAACTACTCTTAGTTTGACTAGTTCTGATTGTTGGAGACAGCTTGCTTTTCAGAAATACCCTGTACTCCTTACCCAGACAAAGATTTTGTACAATAACATGTAGTTTTCTTTCCCTTCAAGACTAAGATTATAATTTGGCAAGTGGGTGCCCAGTTAATTTCTAATGTATTCATTATACTTATATATTTATGGTATATTTTGGATATTTGCCAATGTCAATATTTTAGTTAAGCCCCTGACAATAAATAATTATGTATTTCTTTTGCAGAAAGATTGTGATTTAGAAAGGGGCCCTGATGAGAAACTGGATGAAAATCAGCACTTTGATTTAAAGAGTGGTCCCCAGAGCCTTCCATGGACCAGGAAAATCTATGAGTTCTACAGTGCTCCAATTGTCAAGTTTTGGTTTTATACGGTTGGTCTCATTGCAATAATTATATATATTATTCATGATGATTAATAGCTAATGATAATGTTGATAATGATAGGCCTGATTTGCCTATTTGTGATAAAAACGTAGAAGTGCTGTAACAAAAAACTGGGGGAATGACAAAGGAGGTAGGAAAGAAGATTGGAGGGAGGCAAGGAAAGGTTGGAGCAGATCTTTGGGAGTGAAAGAACAAGCATTTTCTTCCTCCTGGTGTGCTTCCATTGGGCACAGCTGGGACTGAGCATTTGAAGCTTTGTGGGACAGTAGAGTTAACAATGATGTTTTTAGAGTTAAGTGATGGAGGTGGATTCTCTTCCCATCTTGTGCAAAAAAATTAGCAGTTGAATTTTTTTTTCTTTGTAGGAATAATGTGTAATACAGACAAAATGCAGGTGTTTATTGTCTACACTAACATATGCTCATAAATATATAGAGGGCAATAAAAATTTTAGAAGTTGAATTGTATGAACAAATACCAAATCTATTATGAATAGTAGAGATACAGAGACAGCATGAACTGTACTTTAAATGTTTTAATGCTTTTCATATTTAATAGTGTTTATTTTTCTAATGCTTGTCTATACATTAATTACTCATGGCCAAGATTTTGTATTTCTAAAACATTTGAAGTGTGACTGTAAAAGGATACTTATCTAAATGTGTTATATTTCAAAATATTTACTTGGCCAACCATACACTCAGATTGTATACTTATTGAATAAGTGCATAGCTCTGAATGACTTTTATTTGTTTTCAAAAATCAAATCTCCCTTCAAATGATGAGGTTTCATCATTTTTGTGAGTATGCACCGAAATATCCCAGAGACTGATTACAGCTGTGAGAGAATTTTAACTATAGTCACATCATTGGGAAAAGAGTATTCAACTATTTCTTTCCTTAGAAATTTCCAGCTTACAAACTCTTAGAAACAGGAGCAAAGCTAAGCAAATAGAACAACAAAAAATAGCTAATAAATAGGACAAATAAGCCAGCCAGATCTGCCCACTATAATGGATGGTGAGCACAGGCTTTTTAGTGTTGGCTATCACATTGCTAGGTTATGGCGTGTGTGCTATATTAAAGCAGTGTCTTGTTATAAATGTTATGTTGAAAAGAAAAATGTAAACATTTTTGAATCTTTTTTTAAAAATTGGAAAGAAATAAAAAGACTCAGAAGCAATACCACCAAGATCTACAGTGTTTTAGTATCTGGCCACTGTAAAAGCAATGACAAAAATGTAAAAAATGACTGCTTGATAGCATAAATTTATTCAATTATGTCCCTAACAGGCCGTCAAATGTACTCAGACTTTGAGGCACAGACCTAGAGAAGTACAGAATTAATAGAATTTACCTTAACTTTCTTATATTCTTCTCTACTATGGCTCTTTAACTTATGGGCAGTAATATCCACTATAGCTGCCTGCAATACCACCTGTTATATATAATATCGCTATTGTGTAGTCAGAAGTGGTTTCAGCCATTGTCTACATAGAACTAAACTTAGAAGACTTGTCACACTTAGGTAGACCTCAAAAAGATATGAGAAATAGGAATCTAGATTAAAATAATATGATTCTTGTGAGAATGAAAACACATGCACACACAAGCACACATTTTTCTCTCTATTGATCTGGGATTTTTAATACAAGTGTCAATCAGCTAGCACCGTGTATTGTCTCTGAAGCTGTTAAAGGACTGCGCCATCTTGTGCATTGTTGGTGATTGTGGAAACTGGGAAAGCCTTCCTGGCAGGCAATTTAGTAATATGTTTTACAGTTTTAAATGTGTGTACCCAGCTATTCTGCTTCTGGGAATATATCTTAAGAAGATAAGAAAGTTAGATAAGATTACAAAGCTATTAATCACTATGTATACACAGTCATGCACTGTATAATGATGTTTCAGTCAACAATGGACCACATGTGACCGTGTCCAATAAGATTAGTTCCATATAGCCTAGGTGTGTCATAGGCTATGCCACCTAGGTTTGTGTAAGTACACTCTATGATGTTCCCACAACCATGACATCCCCTAAGGATGCATTTCTCAGAATGTTTCCCTGTTGTTAAACAATGCATGACTATATGTGTGTTTATTGTGTTTTAATTCTTTGAAGAGACTGGGCATTAGGTTTAGTGTACACAGTAATTAAACATACGTTTCTTGAATATCTATCATGCTTCAGGCTGAGTGCTGAAAATATGTCTTTAATTACGAGGACTCACAGTTAGACAATACTTCTCCACTAACCAGAATTTTTCATCAATATAAAATAAAACTCTTAGCAGTAGTAAATGCCACAATTTATGATGTTTGAAAATAGGCACCTATTAACACTGCTCAGTTGGTGTACTTGGCACACACGTTTTGTATGTGTGAATGGAGGGGAAGGTGTGTGATTCCCTCTTGGCTTGCTGTTAGCCTGAAAGTGCCCATGCTGGATGTGCAGTCTTCTGGAAATTCTGGTCAGGAGCCAACAGGCGGAGACAGTGACCCCTCTCATGCATTTGAGAATAGTGATCTTCATTCCTGCCAGTAAATCCCAGACTAGAAAACCATGGATTCTTGTGCCTTCCTGGATATTAGATCATCACTAATCAGAGAGTGGTCCCAGTTTCATGTTATCACATCGAATTTCATGCGTGTGTTTCCGCTCGGCTCTGTCTCTGTCTGCTTGGCATCCTCCATTATGACTGTTGCTCACATGTGGGGAATGTGTGTTCCCCTCACAGATGGCGTATGTCGCGTTCCTCATGCTGTTCACTTACACAGTGTTGGTGGAGATGCAGCCCCAGCCCAGCGTGCAGGAGTGGCTTGTCATCATTTACATCTTCACCAACGCCGTTGAGAAAGTCAGGGAGGTGAGTTACCCCTTCTGCCTTTGTCTTCTCTGCACCTCTCCTAGAGGTGTTCTGGGCTCGGGACGAAAATGGACACAGCAAGGGTTGGGGTGAGACAGGTAATGCTGATCCTGATTTGCATGCTACAGGAAGAGTGTTTAGGGGAAAATCTCTGCTCTCAGCCCTTTATCCTTGCCGAATACTTCCTGCTAGCTGCTGCTTTTTGAAAGCAGTTATTTTCAAGGATGTCTTAGTGTGTTTATCAGTCCTAGAGTGATGCTAATTGTTATTAGACTCTCCAACTATTTGAGTACCCAGAAGTGGGGTTTTTTTGTGAGATTGATTTTTATAGTCTTGCATTACTTGAGCAGTTTCGGCTCACTGTGAAACATAACATAAATGGCCAAAGTTGTGCAATTTGTTAAGAATTCATTTCTAACTTTTGAAAGATCCATCTAAACACCTTTGCAAACTGGAACTGAAAATCCCTCTGAGGCAAGTAGCCAAAGAAACCAAACCAAACAAATCAAAATTTTCATTTTTAGTTTGCAACGAGTCACTTAAAAAAGAATTAACATTCCTGTGCAGTTATAACTG